TTAATGTGCCATTTCAAAGTTTTTTGTCAATATTCGTACTATGTGACGTATGATGATTCGTGATAGGGCTGGACTCGGGCCGGGCGGCCCGACCCGGGACCGAACCGGCCCGGTCACTGTTTGGCCCGGCCCGGCCCGGCCCGTGGCCCGGTGGGTCCACCGGTTCGGTTTGGCCCGGCCCGGGTGCTGGGCGGTCCGGGCTCGGGCCCTGGTTTTGGTGAACCGGCCCGGCCGGTTCGGGCCCGGTCCGGGCCGGATTTTAATTTTTTTTTTTTTGAATTTTTTTTAAGTTTTAGGTTGGATTAGGTATTTTGGGCCATTTGAGGTGGTTTGGGATGGTTTGGGGTTGAGGGGGAGGGGTAGGGGATATAATAGGAGAACAAAAAAAAAAAAAAATTGGGCCGGTTCGGCCCGGCCCGGCCCGGTTTGGCCCGGAACCGGAACCGGCCACCGGCGGTTCGGGCTCGGGCCTCCCCTTTCCTGGCCCGAGGCCCAGCCGGGCCCAGGCCCGAACCGGGCCCGAACCGGCCCGAGTCCAGCCCTAATTCGTGACATGATAATATACCTGTTGTCTTAAAGAATGGCATCATATCATCCTAATGACTAATGAGGCACGGACATTCAAGTTCATATAATGCTACTCCCTCCGTGATTATTTTTAGTGAATAAAATTTACATATTCAGAAACTACATTAAAACCGCTACAAAGTCTGATAAACAAAATGTAAGTTTGATAAAAATTTGATATATAAAATAAAAGATCAAGAATGATTTAAGTTGACCATGTGAATAGTGGAAGGGAACCTTTAAATGAGATTGACATGTGATAAATTTGATTATTTTAAAATATAAGTTTAATTTAGAATTTAGATTGACACTAACTTATAAATAGAGATTAGAGAACTTTTCATGTCCAGCCGGCCTGACGGGAACCGCCGTCCGACCGAGGGAATTTCGGGCACTTCCCGGTAGAATTTTTTGATGAAATTTTTTGAGCATGTTCTTCTTCAAGTCTAGTTTATCCATACCAAATTTCAGCTAAAAATTCAATCGGGAAGGCACTCAAATAATTTCTTGAAGTTAACTGGGCAGTTCATACATATAAACTGCCCAGTTAACTTCAAGAGGTCGGGGTGTCGTGTTTTCCCCAACAGTGGCATCAGAGCCGAGGTTGTTGGAGGTAGAGTAACGGGTGGAATTCGTCATGGGGATAGATCTCGTCTTACCATAATGGTAGCAGTGTTGGTGGAGGCATTTGAGATCATGCTCTTTGATGGGATGTTGGACTTCACTTTAGAGCTTAGCGAGACAAAACCCTACGCGACGGCTAAGCCGCTAGGGAGAATTCTCGAGATTAGGCCTTCCAGATTCAATCATGAGTTATAAAGCTAAATTATTGAATAAAAACAATTAATATGCCTGCTATGAATAAAACCAATCAATGTTGATCTAAGAAAATATTATAATGAAACTAATTTACAAAATATAACTAATATTATCCTCCATTCTTTAATTCTTACAACAGTTTGACTTTCACGTTTGCCAACACACAACTTTATTTATTGTATTTATATTTAATTATGTATTGGTAAATATTATAAAAAGTTGATATTTTTGAAATTTATATTGATAGGAATTCAATAACATTTTATATGTAATAATTTGATTATGTATATTAGTAGTAAATCATGGTCAAAGTAAGATATGTGAATAGTATTAAAATCACATTATTGCAGGAATAAAAAACGGATGAAGTAGTTACTATAATATAATTTCATAGTTAGTTAAGTGTAAATTAAACGTAAGACCCCCCCGTAATAGTTTGTATGCTTTCATTTTTATTAAAATATGGTAAATAGGCCTCAACATTTATCCCACTGATTTTGGTGGTATGTCTACCGGATAAAAAATATTAAATGTAAGATACTATGACTATGTAACTATTATACTCACTACACTTAAGAGGTCACATTTTTATAAACAACGTTTATTTTAGTCATATATATCATATACTACTTCCGTCCCAAAAATTTGAACCTTAATTTTGATTAATATAATATTATGTAAGTTATAAATTTTATACTTTTATGAATGTACTTTTACCAAAGAACATTTTCATATAACTTTTATATTATAAATCATTTTCAATAAAAAGATATAGCTGGTCAAAGTTTTGAAAATGGCAAAGTTTTTTTTTGGGACGGAGGTAGTATGTAATTATTTCATAATACTAATAGAAAACCTAAGAAAAAAAATAGGTCTAGTTTAAAAAAAATAAAAAAAAGAGACTATTATACCCTTACTAATGTCACTCGTGCCATCCTCACCCAATGCCTCAGTGAGTAGTGACCAACGTCTCATTGATCAATGCTCCAACGAATCCAACCATTGTGACTCCCGTGATAGTGACCAATGAATTCAGTGAATTTGGCCGAGTCCTTTTTTCTCCGATCAACCATTGCCTCAGTTTACTATCCGCCCAATGATCAACGTTTGCCCAGTGGCTCGGGTATCTAGCGACTTCATATCACCACCTACTGTTGCCCTAGTAACTCTAGGTGATTGACCCTCCGTGAACCCTTGACGCCCTAGTCACTAGTGGTCTACCACCACATCAACTATTGAATCGTTTCAAAATCTGGATCAGATTGTCGAAAATAAAGCCCTAATTTAATGCCAACAAAATTCAGGCAATCTTTCAAAGGTCATGGAGTTCGAATTCTTTTGAGTAAAAATATGAAAACCGTAGTACCTAAGCCTTTTTCCATATATATTACTAAAATAAATTCAAAAGACAGAAATACGTCTTGCTTTAAAATTTTCCAAAAAAAGTGACATATTCAATGACTAGCTCTCAATGACTCATCATGTACCAGTGACTTGTCACTCTGAAATACACTATAATGCACTTGTCCAGTTACTCGTACACAGTGACTAGTCATATTGTTTTTTTCAAAAACATAAGTAGTCATATTTGTGTCCGGAAAACTCTATTAGTAATATACATTTCATTTTTTCTTCATTACCTAAATTGATTTGTAAAACTATTCCATAGGTTCTTGCTTTACCTTTCTCGTTGTGGGTTGTAGGACTTCTACATCTGGCAGCTTCTACATCTGGCAGTTAAAAGCGCAGTTATATTCAATAATTCATTTGAATGCCTTCCCGAATGAATTGTTAGCTGAAATGTGGTATGAGTAAACTAGACCTAGAGTCCGTTTGGTAGCACCAAAATCGGCTGTTTTGGCTGATTCTGCTGAAATTTATGATATTCTGGTTGGAGTGGCTGTTTTGGCTGATTCTGCTGATTTAAGAAAAAAAATATTTTAAAAATATATTTTATTAATAAATTAAAGAAAAAATTATATGTAAAAATAGCTAAAATGGTCCTCTACAATGACTTCAGCCAATACAGCCAGAAAAGTAACTCCAACCTTACTTTTTCGGCTTATTACACAATTCAGCGCGCGAAAGTAAAAGTTACGTGTTTGGTGAAAAAGCTGGCTGATAAGCCTGATAAGCCGAAAACAGAGTTCTCCAAACGGGCTCCTAATGAATAAGATGCTCAAAAAATTTCATCATAAAATTCCATCGGGAACCGTCCCAAATGGAGAAATTTCATCATAAAATTCCATCGGGAACCGTCCCAAATGGAGACGGCCGGACAGAACCTCCTATGTAAGGGTTTATTTGACCTTTTTATGTAAGTTCAAGAGTCTTTTTGACCCTTTTCCCAAGAATATATTAACTTGCAACTAAGCTATGAAAGTACTTCAACTCATTTTCACGGGGGAGTATGATATGCTCGTCAAATATAGTTGAACAACTTAAGAAAAATGATTTGTTAAAGAAATTAAAGTAACAGACATGAGAATGATTAATAAAATTAAATGTTTATTTTGAAAATGTGTTTAATAATTGTAATATTTAAGTTGAACATATATTCAAATATTGTAGAATTAAGAATGTTTAATTACTAATTTTATCAAATGTTTCGCGATTGGTAATTCGACAATATTCAAATATATATTCAACTGAAATATTATAAATTTTAAAGACATGTTAAAAATAAACAGTTAATTTATAAAATCATCTCATTTTTTAATTTTTTTCAATTTTCAACTAGTTTAAATTAAAATTTAACAAACCATTAAACAATTTTTCATAAATTTGTCCATCTATATTTGACGAATGTAACATAATTCAATTGTGAAAATAAATTAAAGTATTTTCATAACTCGTATGTTAATATACTCTTTGTTCCATGGTTATAAGCTGAATACGAGTACTTTATAAGCTTCAACACAAATTTGAGCATCACAGTACTCCACAAAAAACCTATGTTTAAAAAACTCACCCGACCCGGCTAGGTTGACCCGGAACCCGGTGACCCGGACAAAAAACCGGTTCGGTTTTTTCAAAACCCGGAAATGGTCAAAAATCGGAAAAACTCAACTGACCCGGGAAAACCCGGTCAAGACCCGGACCCAAGAAACCCGAAAAACCCGGTAAAATCCAGTTTTTGGGTGTTTTTACAAAAAAAAAAAGTAATTTCTTTTTTATTTTTAATGCATTTTTTTTACCAATAAAATTGCAATTTCAATACCTTAAAAAGAAAAACTACGTAATATATTTATATATTTATTTAAGAATGAACATCATGCCAAATTATAATATAGATATACAATAAAAATAAAAATATCATTATATATTTGTATAAGATCAAAATATACATTGAAATATTATAAGAGTGCATTAAATGCTTAATAAGTAGTATTGTTAGTTGATTATTATGAATAATATCTAATTTTTATTATAATTTTATATATAATTATATGTTTACTATTATTATATAGATGTATAATCATTGACCGGTTTTCCGACGTTGACCGGGTTGATCCACAGGGTCCGGATTGACCCGTGACCCAGTCATGTGGCCGGGTCACTCTCCGGTCCGGTATTTACAACATAGCAAAAAACTCAAAAAGAGTGTGATTCTTGGGTCTAACCAACGTTTAGTGGCCACAATAACAATAAAGAGTAAAAAAATCTGTATTGCTTCAGCTTCTTATCTTCCATGGCTTTTTCCATGAATCTGAACGCTCCGTTCTCGTTTTATTCTCCGTCATTTCCACCTGCTTCTTCCTTCTTAGCTTCTCCAGGAGTTTTCCCTGGAAACAATCTCCGGAATGCCAAGATACACCCACGAACTTGTAGAGCCATGGTTCAGCAGACTGTTCAAGGCGGAGCATCCGCTGCTTTTGCTAAAGAGATGGAAAGGCTTTCTGCTAAGGAGTCTTTGCTTCTTGCTGTAATTCATTCCCTCCCTCCTCCCGTTATTTACTATCCTTTGTATAACACCAATCTATGTAAATTTGTTGATTGAAAAGACGAGAACAAAGTTTTATTAGGGAAGTCTAACATTGTGTGTGTTTCAGGTTTGAACTGATTTATATCATTTTCTTTGAACGTAGTCAACGTGCTTCTTGCATTTCTTTTATACTTATTATAAGCTTGGAAATGAATTTGCAAGCTGAATAATTGAGTTCTAATCCCAGTTCAAAGATGCTGGAGGATTTGAGGCATTAGTAACAGGAAAAATTAGGGATATGCAGCGGATTGATGTAAATGAGGGGATAATTGGACTCGAGCGACTCAATCCCACACCTCGCCCAACAACGTAAGGTGTTTGCTCTGACCAATTTAAGGTAAATGTACAAAAGCTCTACTATGAGATGATGCTCATTTGTGTATTCCTTCTTTGCAGGTCTCCCATTTTGGAAGGTAGATGGAATATCGAGTGGTTTGGTTCTGGAAGCCCTGCTGTTAAGGTCGTGCTTGAGTAAGTCCTTTTCTGCTGCCTTCTTTTTTCCTATTTTTCTATCTTTTTGCAATTATTCTGATTTCCGTGTAACAATGGTAGTTCTTTGAGTAGGCAAATGTTAAGGAAAATGTTGATATGTAAAAAAAGTTTCCCTTGAGTGATTGACTTTTATTTGGTATTATATTATTCAATTAGTACTGATGATTAGCTGCCACCTCAATTCTCTTTCAGGAGGTTCCCTCCATCATTGGCAAACTTATCAAGGTTGGATGTCCTGATCAAAGATAGCTACACAAATATTACTGCTAACCTGAAATTGCTTAACTCGGTAATTAATACTCCTTTGTTAATGATTTTAGATTGAAAGTTCATGTGTAATGCTTTTAGAAATATTACCTTTTTCTATTCAAGAACTCAAACACAATATTTGGAAAAATGACTATTTTTCTCTCAGAATACATTAGTGTGAACTTTGTATCTGTAGGTTCGAGTTTTAGTTTAACGATAAGGTGGCCATTTTGGTGAGTTATTCCAGATTTAGGCACTGAAGCTGCAATTATGGTCACAACTTGGAGGGAATTTCTAAACACTAAAATTACTTGGGGGCTAAGTATAACACCTACACGATAACTACGGGACAAAATAACCATTTCCCCTAAATCTTTATTGTCCTCCAATGATATTAGAGCTCTTTTTGTGTAACATTTCTAAGGATTTTTTCTTGAACTGCAGAACATAAAATTGTAGATGTGTGATAAGTGGGGAAATTCGCTAAAAGTTAAATATCTGAACTGCCCAATCAAACTAAGAGCATGTTTGGTAGTTAATATCTTTTGCATCTTGTACTTAATTTCACTTTACCTGCTCGCAATGAAGCCACATGTTTGTTGTCAGTTCCTATATACATTCTGCAGCACTTTTTTGAGCCTCGAGTATGAATGAACTTTATCAGTGAGTCATTCCATTCAAATATTATACGAATTGACTATTATATCCTTTTATTATACTTCCATTGCCTAAAGTTTCTTCTAATCTTGCACTACATCCTAAACTCCTTGCAAATGTAGTACATAGAAATTGGTAAAATTGGAACCATTGTTGCTTTTTTTGGTATTTTTTTTAAATTAACATTACAAAAACGCCAAGATGTGTCTGGTTTACGTAGGAGGATGACCGGATAGTAGAATGGAGAGTGCCTTGGTTAAATAATTCCGCACAACAAAATTTCCGAACACTGTTTTTCAATCTCGTCTTTTGGAAATAAGGGTAGCAGTATGGATGAACCACTATTAGACCTGTGCCTGGGAGTAAAGTAATGCGGCGACATCACATGCATGCTGGGGTGAAAGGATGGAGGGAGTGTGAAAGAGATAACCAAAGTTTACCAAAGCTCATTGAGAGAGGGGTTAGCACTGTCCTGGCAGATCGCATGTGAGAGACAGTTAAAACGTCAGTACCGTGACACTGCCATACCACTGGATGGAGCCAAGCCTGCAAAGCCATTGGATGCCCAAAATCATATAAAAGCCGGACAACGGCAATACATAAAAATCTACACGAAAGTGATCATTGGTAATAGTGAACGGAAGTCGTGAACATGTACCAATGATGGGTACCCGGTCCCCATTAGCCACCAAAACATGTAGGCGTGCTCCAGGGTGCTGCTAAAGTGTGTTCTTGGGGACCCAACATTGGTGGATAAAATTGTGAGTACTTCCTGAATCAACCAAAACCGTCAAGGACTGGCTGGATAAGGTTGTGTCCAATTGCATGATGGAATGTGACCCGAACCCAGCCATTGCGTTGAATGACGAGGGCTCAATTGGGGTTTCCGGGGCATCTCCAAGTTCGTCATCCACAACTTCGACAAAAAATAATCTTTTGCACTTGTGGCCTCGGATTCACTTTTCATCACAGTTATAACATAATCCCTTTTCTTGTTGTGCAGCAGCTTCAGCCCGAGGTAATTCTTTAAACGTAGGATTGCAATTTTTCATTAGTGGTGCTGGGTCGAGGAGAACTGAGTGATTGGATTGAGGAATTTGAATTCTGGACCTAGCTGATCCATATGTACTATTGTTTGTCGAGTCGCAGATGCAAGGAATTTGTATTCGACCTCCATGCATACTCTCTCTCCAAGTCGATCTGTAAAATTTTTGATTTGCATGTGGATTGAAACTCCAGCTTTCGGGCAAGCAACTGCTGAAACTTGGTGATGTAAGATTCTAAGTCCGACGTTTGCTTTATATTCACCAGATCACCCTCCGGGTTGTGGCTGCTTGGTGGTCTAAATCGTTTTGACCTGTGAATATAGAACTCTGCCAGGGAAGTCTGGCTCCTGCTGGATCCAACTGGTTTGCCCAGAGTTGGGCATTACCAGTCATGTGAAAAGTAGTCAACCCTACTTGTGCCTGTGGTTGGGTGTGCTGCTGGATGAAGAATTGCTCGCACTGCTTCAGCCAAGCTAGCGGATTACTGGATCCATCGTACTGGGGAAACTCCAACTTGGAGTCCTGTGGAACCATCCATCATCTAAGTCACGTTGGTGGTGATCTGTGTGGCGTGGTCTTCTGGAATGTGGACTAGATGATGGTGGGTCCTGCAACAACTGGTTGACAGTGTTTGACAGGTTGATGACAGTTTTACTCATCTCAGTGAAAGCTGCTGGGGTTCCTGCCAAGTCAATCATGGTGTTCTTGATATCCGTGGGCTGTTCTTCTACGTCAACCTGCCGTTGATCTACACCTTGTAGTAAGGCTTTCAGCACCTCTTTTGTCGCCCGTATTTACCCCATCGTGACCATATCTGAAAGTCTGAAACCAAATTGTTAAGGAAGCAAGAGCTAGCCCTAGTCCAGGGGTGCATTAGAGAGATTAATTGGGACAGAGAAAGAGAATCAGTAGAATTAAACGAAGCTATTCTTATTGTTAAATTAAGCGGTTCCTGACCTTGTCAAGTCACAAATTAATTCTCCAAAAAGTACTTTATTTCATAACAAACCCCTTTATATAGAGAGGCTGCTTAGAGTTTTGAATAGGAAAGGGAACAAGAATCAGAAACAAAACTAGCATCAGAAAATATAATAGTATTAACTAACTATCCTTGTTTTCAAGTTTAGCCACTTCCAGTTGTTGCTTTTAAAACCGAATACAAAGAGAAATGACGCTCTTGGTAAGAAAGTTTATCAACTTGTGATAATAAGTACATCACAAATACATATATAACCTAAAATAGCCAATGTGGTGATACGTGAGGTTACTGCACAAACAAGTGATGTACAAGACTGCTAATAGCTTAATCTCTAAACATAAGTTTGCCTTTCATTATTATGTATCAAGTTTCATTTGTTGATATCTATTTCAATGTGCAATCTCCTTGAGGAGAAATCTTAATGTGAAAAGGCAGATGAACTATTTTGAAAAGAATATCGAATCAGTTTGTGTAATGGAGGTTCTACTTGATAATTAGTCGCCTGCAACAAAATTTCAAAAATTCTAGTTTATCATTTGTTTTTAAGGATTCCAAAATAAACGAAATGATTCATGATGAATACAGATTGAGAGCAATTTTATACTCTCTGCCAAGTTATCTATTGAAGGCCCACTGAGAATGAAAGAAGAATATGTTGAAGGGATACTTGAGTCACCAAAGGTCAATGAAGAAACTGTTCCTCAGGTACTAAGAGGTGTTTTTGGACAGGCGATGAGCAGTGTGCAGCAACTTCCTGTTCCTGTTAGAAACGCAGTGTCCAGTGGGTTAAAAATTCCACTTGGTGAGCATTCTCTCATCTCTATACACTTTAATCTTGGTAGAAGCATTGACAATAGGTTTTCAGTAATTAACATAAAGTTAATGCTCTTTTATCATGTAAAAACTTACATGTGGTCAACTGCTGGCTATATGCGGGTAGATATCCAAGTGCAAGTCACATATGGTGAATGACTATATTCAAACTATCTTTAAGATTCATGTTTCGATCTCCCTATTTTTTGAAAAAGATAAGATGGTAATACCTATTGAATATGTATCTTTTCTTTTCTTCCCTTGTGTCCTGGAGGTCTAGGGTTCAAATCCATAACCTTGGACTCTGGTATGCATTTTAGTTTTCATCTATTCACACCTTTAATAAAAAGCCCCAAAGATTTTAAAAAGAAAAGTTTAAAAGGGCTTCTCTCTTTAATGTTTGATGTTTTTTCCTGGCTACAGCTGTTTCTTGATTGCGTAGCTTTTAAACATTTGACTATTTAATGCAAGTTGGTACTCTTGTGATTGTAGGTGGGAGCTTTCAAAGATTATTTATTATCTCCTATCTTGATGAAGATATTCTGGTAGGCCTTTTAAGAGAATAAGAGCGCGATGAAATTGAAATAAAATTTGTTGATATGTGATTGTACAGTTTGGCAGATTTCATGCAGCAGTTTAAGGGGTTGAATACCTTAAATCTGTGTCGTTAAATTGCACTTGCCACTACAGTATTTTGCATAGCTGACCAACAATTAGCCAACTTTCTTAACTGATAAAACTATTTAATGACGCTCCAATATTGATTGCAGAGCTTATGATTGTCAGCAAAACAAAAATATGGTGTAATTAAAAGTTTGGACGAAATAAATTAAATATTGTTGGCATGGGTGCATCTTGTTAGCCCAGTCAAGAGTTTGCTTGATGATTTAGTCAAAAGTTGTAATAAAATTTTCTTCAGGTGGAGAAAATTTCTTTTGGGGCCCGTTTGGGTAGGATTGGTTGAATGTGCTCACTTTCTTAGGGGGCAATTGGTTCCCGTCTTGTGAGACTACCTTGTATGTTTAGACATTTAATCTCCTCAGGTTACGTTATATAGTGTGGGCTTTAAGATATGCAAAGGCGATTGACTATTGCACAAGGCAAAGATTACCTTGTTGGGTTTATGTTTGTGCAAAGATAACGTACAAAAAAGATCTAATTACCATAACGTACAAAAAATCGTTAGTGTCTGTGCTAGTCTGTTACCTTGGTTCTTTAGGTAATGTAAAATTACTTAAGTAATACTCCTTTTTTACCCTTATATCTGATATTGTTCTATTTTCGTAAAGATAGATCAACATTTCATTCGTAATTTCTTACTATCCCAACTAACACTAAAACGACATTCATTTGTAATCTAACATTACTGTTGTCATTCTATTGTATAAGTAATCCATACATTGCCATAATTACACTTTATCTTCTCGAAGGTAATCACATTACTCTTGCTGTTTGGGGTGTGCAGATTATTAGAGATAGCAGTGGATTACCTGAAGTCCTTACAAGATCTGATTCAGTCCCCGAGGATGAGTCAATAGTAATAACTGAATTTGAAAGCTGAAGAGTGGATTCATTGTGCACGTGGGATGCAACTTTTTTTCATCACTTGATCGATGCTTCAGATTAACTTACTTTTCATCATCATCTGCTCTACGACGAGTATATTGTATGGCATTATTTTGATGTTGTCATTGTAGTCGTACACGTCCCCTTTCCTTTACGTTATGGTTATAATCACTGTCAACGGCATCCCTTTGTTATCCATCAATAGACTGGGTAAAACCTTTCTTCCATATTAATTCATGTTGACTGATGAAGTGGTCGGTTTTTGTAATGAATAGAAACTGGAGTTGGTATAAAACCCTCTTCACTAGCCAGGGGCTAAGCTATTCAAATCTGCATGGTTCGTTTCTGCAAAAACAATAAAAAAAAAACAGTCAAATGGCATTGTAATGTCCAGGGATGGATCCGGGATTTAAGGTCAAGGTGGGGAGAATTTTTTTCACTGGAGCCTGGGAGCAATGTTTTTCCGCAAGTGTAGGGCCCTACTATTCAAAAAAAAAAAAAAAAACCATTGGTGTATACACGATATTTAAATATGTGACACTAAATAAACACAATGGAAAACAACATTTGGATTTTATAATTGTAATGGCCCTAATACTACTCTTAGAGTTATCATTGACTTAAATATAATTGTTTTTATTTTGGACAGAAAACTGAGTAAATTAAATGATTAATCCCTAAATCTAAATACAACTCACGTAGCCCTAAATCCCAATAATACACGCATATCCCACCAAACACATCCCATCATTCTTGTGACGTAGAAGAACCGGATGAAGCTGCCGCCCTCCACATCTTCTTCCCCATATATTTCCATCTTAGATTTGAGCAGACCTGCCACCGTCGAGCACATCTGTCGCCGCCACACGCATCCACCTTCGCCGCCCTACTGCCACGCATTAGTCAATACACCATCGTGGATCTCATCATTCTCATCTTCTTCTCTTTCTGTTGTGAGTGATTGGGGTTGACAGCGACAAACCCAACGACTCAAGAGACGCCGACGGTCAACTGTGGCTACAGACAGTAGGGTCTTTGTGAGGTGCGATATACTTGTTTTCAATGGGTGGGGTGGGGTGGGGTACGAAGGTGGTGTGGGGGGTGGAGCACTGGTTGTGCAGCGCCAGGGAAGGGGTGTTGGAGTTAACCTTGTTGTTTATAATTTCATCATGTTTAATTTAGTTTATTTTGAGTCATTGATGCATTTTAGACTAGAGTGTTAGTGCACGGCGGGATGAGTCATGCCAAGTAGTGTGCGTCGCGTGGCACCATGCATGTGTTGTGGCGACATTGATGTGCGTATGTGTCGTTGCATTAGTGTTAGTCTAATTTGCACGGGTTGATCAATTAGTTAGTTGCATGCATGTTTAATTTAGCTAGTGGGATTACTTGTGAGAAAGAGCAAAAGAAGTTGGACGGAGCATGAGGAATTTTGGTAGTGCTTTAGTGGAAGAGTGCAGCACTTAGTTTTCTCCCATTTTGTAGCTTTGGCAGTTTTTCCGTTTGCTTATTTAATGAAAAACCGGTGATGGGCTGCAATAGATGCGGCACACCAAAAAAACAAGAAAGCCATGCATTTATTACTTTATGTACTACGTACGAATGCATGTATATGCTTTTACTAAGTGTTTATAGCTAGATTAATACCCAACACAATATTCTTCCTCCTCGGCATTCCCAACATTTAGTATTAGAGCCATGGCCGGTGAAGGTTTGCGCACTCCGTCACGCTCTCCGGTACGTCGTGGGCGGAGCCCGACGCGGCGAGGTGGCTGAGAGGTGGTGGTGCAGCAACGCATCGTCCACAAGGCCAGCAGCACCGTCGTCTACCCGACGTTGACGGCGATGAACGACTTCGAGTGGGCGCTCATCATGAAGGTGAACATGGAGGCCCAAAGCGTGTGGGACGCCGTCGAGGGTGGAGGGAGCTTTAGTGATGATAGGGTGGCGCTTGCGGCAATTCTGCGAGCCGTGCCACAAGAGATGCTCTCCACGCTTGCCGTGAAGGCAACAACTAAGGAGGCATGGGACGCCATCAAGACCATGCGTGTGGGCGATGAGCGTGTCCGTGAGGCCAAGGCACAGACTCTACTCAAGGAGTTTGATGTCGTCCGAATGCGGAGCGGCGAGACGATCGACAACCTCACCATGCGCATGAACGAGCTTGCCAACAAGATTCGCACCCTCGGCGAGACTCTCGAGGAGGTGAAGGTCGTGAAGAAACTACTCTACATCGTGCCGTCCAAGTACACCCAAGTAGCTATTGCAATTGAGCAGCTTCTTGATCTTAAAACCATGTCCATGGAGGAGCTTGTGGGAAGGCTCAAAACAATGGAGGATAGGAGCGATGCGGACGACGACATTGATGTGCATATGTGTCGTTGCATTAGTGTTAGTCTAATTTGCATGGGTTGATCAATTAGTTAGTTGCATGCATGTTTAATTTAGCTAGTGGGATTGCTTGTGAGAAAGAGCAAAAGAAGTTGGACGGATGATGGGGAAAATAGGTAGTGCTTTAATGGAAGAGTGCAACACTTAGTTTTATCCTATTTTGTAGCTTTGGCAGTTTTTCCTTTTGCTTATTTAATGAAAAACCGGTGATGGGCTGCAATAGATGCGGCACACCCAAAAAAAGAAAGCCATGTGTTTATTACTTTATGTACTACGTACGAATGTATGTATATGCATTTACTAAGTGTTTATAGTTAGATTAATACGCAACACAATATTCTTCCTCCCCGGCATTCCCAACAAGGGGTAGGGAGGTTGGGGCTGGATCATTAACTGTGCAACACTGGAGAAGGGGGTTGGGGCTGGACAGTCAATGCGGGATAGTCACTGTGCCCGACGGCAGTCACTACGGCGACAGTCACTGGTCACTGGAATTGAGCGACAGGTTTCATTGAATGTTAACGAAAATTGTCACTGAACATTGCCGAGTCACTAAGCAACATATGAGTCACTGAACGTCGGCCAACATAGTCTCTGGACAAGGCTGGAGTTACTGGAGATGTGTCCGGTAGATGTGTGCCGACAGTGATGGCAGCGGCAGTGATACTGCCAGCGGCGGTGATACTTTCAGCTCTGATGGTTGTGGTGGAGTACGTATATTATACAACCGGCTGTACTGTGAGCACCGTATAGCCGGCCCAGTAACAGGTGCAAGGGAAAAATAACAAAATAATTCGGTGGCATTTTTGTAATTAATGCGAAAATCGCGGTTTCTGTAAATGAGTATTAGTGTATTGTTAATGAGTAATAGTCTAATTTTAATGAGTACTAGTATAGTACCCGTGCGATGCACGAGATTAATATAAAATATAGGTAAACTTATTTCACAAAATAAAAATTTATTAACATTGATGAGTAGTTTGGAATCTGGAATTTGAGATAAAATATTGGGGTTGGGATAAGATGTTTTCAATGGGAATTTAGAAAATATTTCTTAGCCCCTCATGTAAAAGCAAGATCTGTTTTTATTTCCTAAATGCTTTCTTTAAATCGATATAAATTTCAGAGTTAGAAAGTTGAACATGGAAATGGAAAATTTGTTTAAGCCAAACATTAATACCTCATTCTTCAAATAACAATTTTCTAATAGATTTAATAATGTTTGATCATCTGTAAATATTGATGAGTATTAATAACACGGGTTTGATTAAATAATAGTATGCATTTCTTACTTTATGGTACCCGTGGGATATTTCTTTCTTATATACTCCCTTCATTTCGCTAATATAATCCTATTTATTTTTTGGGTCCATCTCACTGTGATTGTCTCATATTTGATGGTACTCGTCCTCTATATCATTCTTATTTCAATTTTTTACTTTATCAATTCTATATCAACCATACAAACCCTTTTTATTGGTTTGCGTGTCACTTTCTCTTTTCTCATCGTTAGTGGGAGGGAGGGAGTACTACATACCAAGTATTTGCTTTGTTCTTAAATACCGTCAATTTTTGACATTTACCGATGTATATCTTTGATCATTAATATATATATATAATTGCCTATTTGTAAAAAAATAAGATTTTGAAAACTGACAATGAGACAAATTTAATAATATTTTTCAAAAATTATTATTAATACATTAATAAATACTCCCTCCGTAACAAAAAAATCTTCCCACTTTCCTTTTTCGTCCGTAACATAAAAATCTTCTCATTTCTAAATCTTCTCATTATACCCTCAATAATTCTGAAAATAATACACTATTACAACTACTTTTTTGAATTTATCATACATTCCATCGCATTATTCCACTATCTTCCCATCATACCCTCAATAATTCATATTTTCTTTCACTATTCTTAATCTACCTACTTTTGAAATGAGAAGATTTTAAAGTTACGGAGGGAGTAAAACATAATCAAATTTAAAAATGTGAATAGCGTAAAATTGAATGGTATTAAACTTTGTTAAATATAGGTAGGTTTTTTTAGGGTTAATGCCGCCTCTAAGAACTGACAGTTTGGATCGAGAAGATTTGTGATAGAGGGTTTGCGTGTGAATGACGGCTCCGGCGGAGTTGCCGCCTCCACCTCCGATCAAGGCTTGGTCGGGGAAACCATTCGTTGATGTTGTTGCTAATACATCTTCTGGTTCTATTTCGGCTAAAGTCCCATCACGTTTCAAAGGATTACCTGCCGTCACTTTCCCGGATAGTGATGTCAGTATCCTGGCTGAGCGGCACAGAAGATCATTGATCAGCTATTTCTACAGGGGTAGACCGAGCTTGGATTTCATTCGTAAAGCTTTGGAGGCTATAGGTTTTAAGGGTTCTTTTCATTTGGGCGTCCTGAAAAAAAAAGCACATTGTTATAAGGTTTGATTCTGATGATGACTACTTTCGCTGTTGGAATCGGCAGAATTGGAACATTAGAGGTTATGAGATGCGCGTGACCAGATGGACCCCGGAGTTTCGCCCCAATGTGGAGTCTCCGGTGGTTCCTGTTTGGATTTCTATGGAAGGGTTACCTCTACATCTCCAAGATAGGAGAGCACTGTTTGACATTGCAGCTCATATTGGTGAGCCATTGAGGATTGATAGTGCTACAGCTAATCTGTCCCAGTGACAAATCTGTCCCAGCCGTCACTGGCCCGGGTTTGCATTGAGCTGGATGTCACCCAGGAGTTACCACGGAAGGTGTGGATTAATTGTGGTAAAATTGGCTTTGCTAAGCCGATCATTTATGAGTACGTGCCAGAATACTGCTCGTTCTGGTTGCATTTAGGGCATTCTCACTCCAAATGCCCTAAACGAAATCCCAGTAGTTCAAGTTGGAAAGGATGAGCGTCCTACTCGAGTGCATGTATTGAAAGACAAATGGGTGGAGAAAAAAAGGATGAGCAGCCTAAACAGACTAGATACACACGACATGAGAAAGGAAAAGCAATTATTACACATTCTACATCTACTATGGCTGCACAGACTGCTAATCAATGTAAAGAACTTATGGTATTGAACTAGCCATCATCTTCAACTATGGAGGCAGTTCAGTGTGACGATGACACTGATACTGAGGAAGTCTTTCACGAGATATCCCCAGTTGCAAGGCAGCAGGCGGTTACTAGTACTGAAGGTTGTACGAGTCAATTGGAAGGGGATGCTTCTTCCAAAGATAGAATTGACATGGCAAGCTGAAAACATCTCTTGCAGAAGCAGGTCTCGGGGATTCTGCACATTAAAAATATTGTTAGTAATAGTGATGATTTGCAGATTAAGAAGATGCAAAAGGCCCTTGAATTTGATCCTATATTAGCTTCTAAGGAGTACTCGTCTGACAAGGAAGATAGCAGGCCTATTGTAATTGGTGATTGGGAAGTTGGATGGGATGCCATTACTACCAAAGTGGATGCAATGGCCAAGCGGCTTGAACTGGAAATTGAGGATCTCACTCTAGATCAATCTGGGCAGGCAGCTCTGAGGAAAAGGATCTGACTGATCCCATTTTACCTTGTCAGGCAACTGATACGGAGGCCCATGCTGAGGAACTTGTGACTCAGGCAGTGACTGAGGAGGTTCAGGCTCTGGATCAGTCTTGCCAGGCAACTGCTGAACAGGTTCAGGGTGTGCAAATTGGGAATGAGACAGTTCCTGAGGAATTCATAGAAGTAGTCAGCAAAAGGAACAAAAGGAAGAATACCTTTGCACCTCCCAGAGTTTCTAGAAATGCTGCAAAAAGGAAAGAAGGATCAGTTTTGTCAGTTTCTGTGCAAATGGACACTAAGCTGGCTTCACAAAATTTCCCTAACCCTGCCTTATGAATTGTTTATTCTGGAATGTAAGGGGAGTTGAATCTGCCACAGCTAGGTTAGTTTCTCTAACAAAGCAATGGCAGATTCAAATTCTAGCTATTATTGAACCAATTATCGATTACTCTAAAGCAGATTCTTTCAAGCATGCTTTTGGTTTTTCTAGAGTTTTATCTTCTAATCTAAATAAAATCTGGGTTTTCTGGGATCCCAATGAGGTGGATATTTCCGATGTCTCTTTTCATGGCCAATTTACTCATTTGAGATTTAAGAGAGGGAATGTGGAAGGCTGGTTTACAGTAATATATTGAAAACACAACTATATTGCTAGAAGAGACTTGTGGGAATCTCTGGTGGCCCTGTCCAGGAATATGCATGATCCCTGGCTTATAGGTGGAGATTTCAATGCTATAGCTGCTCATAATGAACATCAGGGGAGATCAATGCCTCATCTTAATAGTATGATGGAGTTTTCTAACTGTGTGGCAGCTTGTGATCTTATTGAACCTAATTATTCTGGCCCTACCTTCACTTGGGCTGGGGTTAGGTCAAATGGATGGGTATGGAGGAGGCTGGACAGGTATTTGATCAATAGCAGATGGAATGATTTATTCAAGAGAATTCAGATAGATATTTTGGACAAAACCCCATCGGATCATACTCCCATTCTTATCAGATGCTCTACTGAGGAAACTAAAGGCCCTAGATCCTTCAAGTTCCATAATATGTGGCTAAAACATCTTAGTTTTCTGGATACTGTGCAAAAAAGCTGGAGTAAAAGCCCAAGTGGAGGAGGGATGAGAGGCTCGGTGTACAAACTGCAATGCCTTCAAAATGACTTGAGACTATGGAATAAAGAAACATTTGGGAATATATTTGAGGAGATTAGAAAGTGTGAAGATCAAGTTATGCAGGTTGAGAAAAGCTTCATGGAGTGCCAATAACAGAGAACACTGGAACCACCTCAGAGCTCTCTTATCTCTAAACTCAACCTGGAAAGAAAATATTGGAAACAAAAGGCCCAAGTTAGATGGCTTAAAGAAGGTGATGCTAATACAAAATACTTTCATTCTTTTGTGAAAGTAGGACATAGGAGGCAGAGTATTAATGCCATTCCAAATGAAACCGGTATGGTAGTATCTTCTTTACCTGACATTGGGAAAGCTGCTATTGACTTTTATTCCAAGCTCTATTCTGTTGCCCCTGAAACTGACTCTGAGGATGTTCTACAATTTATTCCAAACTTGGTTACAGAGGAGCTTAACTATCATTTAATGGAATTACCACAAGAGCAAGAGGTTAAATAGGCTGTTTGGAATCGTAATCAAAATGGGGCACCGGGACCTGATGGATTTAATGGGAAGTTCTTTAAAAACTGTTGACATATTGTTGGGGCTGATTTGGTGAAAGCTGTGCAAGAATTTTTCCCGGGCATTAATATTCCTAAAGAGGTCTCTAGTAGTTTGATTGTGCTAATACCTAAAATTAGCAATCCTTCTACTTTTGGAGATTTTAGGCCCATTTGCCTTTCTAACTTTGTGGGTAAGGTTTGTACTAAGGTGTTGGCTGATAATACAATTTCTCCTCAGATCTATACAACTCCAATCGCGTCTAGTATAAGGGAATGATCAAGTACATTAATATCGACCATGGATTTAAACAATAATTGGATAATTGATACTTCGTATTTGACAATTGTGACATTTATAAAAGCAGAAAACAGTTTTAAAACATCACAAGAACAAGAGCAAGGTCAAGAGGAGCTGCAATGGGGGATTGGGGGAAATCGATCCTATTTGTCTCCTCTTTTTTCTTCCCTTCTTTTATTCTTGTTTTGCTCTAATAATGAACATAGTTTTGTTTAATCAGTATTTTTAGTTATATATATATGTTTATCAGCATATGTATAGTTCTCTTCTTTTATTTCAAGTGGCGGAGTGTCGCTTGGCAAGATGATATTTCTCCACCATCATTGATCGAATGTTCTTGTGAGTGCTAATCAGAGAGCTTTGGATTGACTTTGTTGAAATATAGCATATAAACTACGGAGTAAGAAACAATATTTGAGAGGAAAGGATTTTCTGTGTATTTCATTAGTTGTGTAAGTCCCTATAAATATACATTTCAAATAAAATATTCCTATACAAGATTCTATACAATAATAATATCCTAAACTATATTCCTAGAATATTCTAGAATAATATCCTAAAGAATATTCCTAGATCAGTAAAAAAAAAGTATATTCCTAGAATATTCTGAAGTATATTCTAATATTCTAAGGTATATTCTATATACTTTCATACTCCCCCTCAAGTTGGAGCATAAATATTTAACATGCCCAACTTGTTACATAAATAACCAATTCGGATCCCATTTAGTGCTTTAGTGAACAAATCTCCAAGTTGTTCTCCAGACTTCACATATCCCGTAGAGATCAACTATGATACCCCGAAAATTTAAAATAAAATAAATAATTTTATTAGTCAGATAAAATGTACAGTATTTGACAAAACAAATCAAAATAAATATTAATTAAAGTGTTAAAAGTGACGTTTTGTAACAGGTGATAATTATACATATAGTAAAAATAGTATTGTGACATTTTAACAATTTTAATTCAAAAATTTATAATATGGGTGAGAATACACTAAACACCACTGAGTTGACTTTTCAAACCTAACCTAGATGCATGATAATAATATATGGTAACAAAACAAAGGTGTACGTACGATACATGCATATGAACCTACCGGACGAACAACAAGTACTCCGTATGATAATTTAAGCATAGTACACTTAATAATATAGAAGCATGATGACCGGCACACACACATGCCTGTAAGACCAATTCACATGGGCAAACCCATATATGTAGTACGTAATACAAGTACATCCACATGCGAAGTATACTTCCCCACGTTTGCTTACTAAAATGGGTGGAGTACTTTCACACTTGTGGATAAGTGGATAATCAACGTATGAAAACTGGAGTACCATGCCAACAGGAAACTTGATCTGTTCGAAGATAATAACAAGCTACCCTGCTGTACTGTACATATATTATTGAGATTATTTAAATATTAATATTATTATTAGTTGTACTACTTATGTACTATCTCTAAGTAAGTACATATGAGTACATGTCCATGCACTATTATTATTATTTTATTCCCTCCTATCACATATTGCACTATGTATTAATAGACATCAAGTAGCAGCAATAAACTTACGGCTTCTAAGCCATCCTCTTCGTATGATATTGTTTAAGCTTCCCTCTTAATAATATACTAGTATATCGTACATTTAGATTTTATCATGGTATCAGAGCCAAAACCTGGAAATAAAAATTTTGGTCCTCTTTAGAGATTTCATATCTCTTATCTCCTTCCACCGAAATGGCAAAAATGCCACTTCACTCTCGTAGTTGGATAATTGATTCCGGAGCAAGTGAACATATCACTTGTGATGATAATGATATGTTCAACATTTTTGCTCATCCACCTGAACCAGCTGTCAGAATCCCTAATGGCGATTCAATTCCCGTTTCTGCTGTTGGTAGTCTATATTTATCCAATGGATTCTATCTTCGGCGGGTTTTATATGTTCCACAGTTTAAATGCAATTTGCTCTCTGCTAGTCGTCTCACTAACGATCTTAATTGTACACTCACATTTTTCTCCAACTTTTGTATATTACAAGACTTAGCTTCAAGGAAGCTAATTGGTATGGGAAGATTCTGTAATGGGTTGTATTACCTGGAATCACCAGAAGGTAAAGGAGCGGCGATGTCGGCTGTTCTTAATACCGATTTATGGCATCAACGTTTGGGACATGCTTCAGATGGAAAATTACAATACATCACATTTCTTAAGGGTTTCCGAAACAACAGTAATTTTTGCGATCCCTGTTTGAGAGCCAAACAAACTCGTCTCTCCTTCCCCAAAAGTACAAGTAAGACCACTTGGTGTTTTGAATTAATACACTGTGATATATGGGGAGGTTATAGATGTGATTCTACATCAAGAGCACGATATTTTTTGTCTATTGTCGATGATTTTACCCGAGGTGTTTGGGTCTATCTCATGAAAAATAAATCTGAAGTTGGTCAAAAATTGATACAATTTTGCAACATGATAGAAAATCAATTTGACAAGCGAGTTAAATGCATACGTTCAGATAATGGAATGGAGTTTCAAACCAATCTTTTATCTGAATATTATAAACGTCAAGGAATTATTTTGGAAACGTCGTGCACAGATACTCCTCAACAAAATGGGGTTGTAGAGCGTAAACAAAGACATATTTTAGAAGTTGCAAGGGCCCTTCGTTTTCAGTCCGGGTTACCCATTGATTTTTGGGGAGAATGCATTCTCACCGCTGTTTATATCATCAATCGGCTACCGTCACAAGTCATTTTAAATAAAAGTCCTTATGAAATGTTGTTTGGGAAAGAGCCCAATTATGAACATTTACGTGTTTTTGGTTGTTTGATATATGCACACAACAACAAACATAAAGATAAATTCAGCGAAAGGGGGAGTCCTTGTATTTTTCTTGGGTATCCCTATGGCCAGAAAGCTTATAGAGTTTTTGATTTGCAAAAACATGATATTTACAGTTCACGTGATGTTACCTTCTTTGAAAATGAATTTCCATTTAAGAAAATTGAACATGAAGGGTTGGATTTTTGTTCAATTGTGGACCGTGCATATCAAAAGGTTGTGGACCAAAGTGGAATGCCATCACAGCCTACCAGGCTATCATTTGGACATCAGCCTGGAAACTTCTCATCAATGGACCCCACTAATAATGTGGAAATCTCCAAGGAGCCGCAACATAATTCTTTGATTGAGCAGCGACGTGAGAACTTCTCCGCCGATCAGCAACCGGCGGACTTTGCTGGCGAACAACCTGGTTGCTTCTCTGCCGCGCAACAGCCGGGGAACTCATCTCCGGCGAGCAGCGATCTGGACATCATATGCGGCCAGCGATCTCCTCTAAGACCTCTACAACAGCCTGGACAATATCTCCCTCCACAAGACTGTTGCACAGTCGGCACTCCTGTACGACTGACCAAAGGCAAAGGTGAGGACAGAACTGAAGAAAATGCCAGGTCAACTGGAGGCCACCTGGAGCAGCTCACCCCCCAGACGGACGAACGTCCCCACTAATTAGGCGGGAAACCTAGATTCTGGCGGGAAGTGCATTTAATGCTGAAGATTTGGTGGTTGGGACTCCAGCGGTCCACAGGCTGCCACATCAGTATAGCCACCTGCCCATTGGTGGGTATAAATAGAAGCATTTATTTCATTGTAAAGGGTTGTCAACTTTCTATTCTTAGCACTCTAGCTATAGCATTCTTACTCGCAGCACTTCTACTGCCTCGTAAGACGATCGGCCGACGAGCCTTAGTGAAAAGTACTGTATTAGGGAGTTATTAAGAGATAATAATACCTAATCACTTACTTGCTGCTTACCGTTCTCCTTGATCCATATCACTTGCTAGTTGGGCTAGATATTCATACACACTCCACTCGAAATCGTTGGGCTTACGTGTTGGACCCGAGGGTTGAAGGAATAAACCTCAACAATAATAATAATAATATTAAAAAATTGTGATTACAACCTGTGAAATCGTTAATGAAGATTTGATATAGCAATTAAGATTTGGAATGGCTAGATTGATAATAGTTACCTTTAATGAAATTGTCACTTCTTAGTTGAGATCACTACATAACTTAAAATCATGGATCAATTAAGTTGTTACTAATAATACACGATTTAAACATTATCTTAAGATATATGACTATTTTAGAACTGTTAAATTTATAATTTTTGGTTGTTTCTAAAATTGATTACTGAGTAATATTATTCGGATATATTTGTAATAAAATACAAATAAGTATTTTGAAAATCTAACGATTATAATTCGGATCTTTTACAAGAGAAGATTAATTTAATGGCTGTTTTAGTACTAAAATTTTATGAAAATAATTCAGACATTTTTAAGTGTAAATTAATTCGGATATTGGATTAGATTAAACTAAAGTACCGAATTAATAAAAGAAATGAGTAGATAAGGTGAGAAGTTAAATTACGAAATAAAGTAAGGTTAATAAAAGTGATTAATTAACAATAACCTATGTTCGAATACTAAAATAAGAGGGGAAAATCGGGCATATTATTACAAATAGGATAAGTGACTGATCATATCGTCTTAATTAAAAAGGTGATTATTTTGAGACAAGAATAGAGGAGAGGAACTAGGAGCATCTGATTTAAGGTAAGTTTCTCTGCCGATCCAAAATGGTTTCCTCGTATTATATGTTATTATGTGATTAAAGTGTGAATTTTGAATATGTATTATTTGAAGTAACATTAAATTATATTATTTGAGAAAGTTGAGATATGGGGTACTAAATATTTTTAAATACCTTTGAGACTATTTAGAGAGATTGAGAAATATTTTTTTGGAAGTGTTGAGTTTAATCCAACACGATATAGTAAATATATGTATGAACACTCAGTTTTTACGTGGAAACCCGAAAGGGAGAAAACCACGGGACTTTTTAGGCTAATGTCCAAGCCCTCTCCTTCTCATTAGGACTCTCCTCACCATTACACAGTACAATTTGAGCTCCCATTAATGGAGTCTTGCAAGCTATTCTAGAGAGAGTAAATGAGTTGGGGAAGAAGGAAAGAGATCCTTTACATGGAGGGAAACCCTCCTATAAATAGGGAAAGGGGTGAGGGAAGTACTCCACCCTAATGGGCCAAACGGGCCGATGTCGGGCCCAATGGCCAAAGTGGGCCAGAATGGGCCGAAATGGACCTAGCTGCTCGGGCTCCGTATTGAATAATGTCTTGGGCTCCTGAACAGTAATAGGCCGGGATAATATATCCCAACACAAGTCCCCCAGTTTCTTGAGTAGTGAGCGTGCGAATCTGCTCGAGAAAATATATTCTTGCATGCGCTCTTCCTCTGTCTTGCTGGAAACTGTGTCTTCACATAATCATAATATATGAGTGAGTGTCTGCACTCCTGAACGTAATCTGCCGGTGAGGCACCCCCCTTCCCGACGGGGTCGGGCGAAGGGTGCTCCTCCACGGGCACGCTCCCCCTGACTGCATCAGGCGAGAGTGGAGGACTCTGACTCGAGCTTTCCAATCGGAGAAGCTTAGAGGTCCATGCGTCTATAAACCGACGTCGCGGTACTGTCAAAACACGATGCACATGTGTATGTGTATGTATGAATGTATGAGGTATGATGCATGAATGCATGAATGCATGTAATGTATGGATGCGATGTATGAGAGAAGGAATGTGAGATGTGATAGGAGCGGTAGCTCTCAACGATAACCCGGGCATGTCAGCGCCGAGGGGCAGACGTGCTGCATAAGAGACGTTCGTCGCCATCCTGAAAGGGATGGGCGACCCTAACGTGAGCCAGACACGATGGCGCTGGGGCGCTGATCGTGCTGCATAAGAGACGTTCGTCGCCATCCTGAAAGGGATGGGCGACCCTAACGTGAGCCAGACATGACGGCGCTAGGGCGCTGATCGTGCTGCATAAAGACGTTCATCGCCATCCTGAAAGGAATGGGGCGATCCGAACGTGAAAGAGACACGATGGCGCTGAGAAGCCGATCGTGATGCATAAGACGGTCATCGCCATCCTGGAGGGAATGTGCGAGCTGAACCGTGAAGCCAGGTACGATGGCGCTAAGGGGCCGATCGTACTGCATAAGACGTTCGTCGCCATCCTGGAGGGAATGGGGCGATCCGAACGTGAAGCCAGGTACGATGGCGCTGAGGGGCCGATCGTACTGCATAAGACGTTCGTCGCCATCCTGGAGGGAATGGGGCGATCCGAACGTGAAAGAGACACGATGGCGCTGAGAAGCCGATCGTGATGCATAAGACGGTCATCGCCATCCTGGGGGGAATGTGCGAGCTGAACCGTGAAGCCAGGTACGATGGCGCTGAGGGGCCGATCGCACTGCATAAGACGTTCGTCGCCATCCTGGAGGGAATGGGGCGATCCGAACGTGAAGCCAGGTACGATGGCGCTGAGGGGCCGATCGCACTGCATAAGACGTTCGTCGCCATCCTGGAGGGAATGGGGCGATCCGAACGTGAAGCCAGGTACGATGGCGCTGAGGGGCCGATCGTACTGCATAAGACGTTCGTCGCCATCCTGGAGGGAATGTGCGAGCTGAACCGTGAAGCCAGGTACGATGGCGCTAAGGGGCCGATCGTACTGCATAAGACGTTCGTCGCCATCCGGGAGGGAATGGGGCGATCCGAACGTGAAAGAGACACGATGGCGCTGAGAAGCCGATCGTCTGCCAGGACTGCATCCAGGAAGGAATGGTGAGCCTGAAATAAATCTGGGCGATGTCCCTCCGTCTGATCTGGGGAGCTGGTATTCGTCGTCCAAGGCAAAAGAAAGCCTGATGTTAGCCGATCGTCGTCGGCCACTTCATTCTTCGTACTTAAGTTTTGTAATTATTCTTTACATATGTTTTTCAGTTTGTACTTCCCGGCCAATAGCGCCGAGGGATAAAATCATTCTTTGCTCCGTGCTCTTCTGGCATCTTTCTTTCTTTCTTTTTTTTTTTTTTTTTTTTGGAGTCTTTTAGTCTTCGTTCGTCCTTGGTCCCTGGTCCTACCGGCGTCCCTACTTCGAGGAGACGTTCGGTGTCCGCCGACATCGCAAGGAGGAACAGGTTTATCTACATCGAGATTCCCCCCTTTTTTCGTTCGTCCGTGGTCCTTTTAGCCTTACCGACGTCTCTTGCTTCGAAGAGGACGTTCGGTACCCAAGGAACTCGCAGGGACGAACTGGTCTACCCTCACGGGTTCCCGTCTTTGTTATCCCACGTCCATCGATCCATGGTCGTTTGTGGGATAAACAGGTTTATCTTGGCAGGCTCCCTTGGTTCGTCTAGCCCCCTCCGCGTCTCTACTAACCTCTACACCGAGAGGCGTTCGTCTTCGGCGGTTGGAGAAGATCTGGCACACCTGGGCAAGATTCCCTTCTACATAGGAGCTCCTCTCCTCTTCTCCCCATTTTTTTTTTTTTTTTTTGGGGGGGGGAGGCAATCCATACTCTTCGCTCGTCATTGGTCCCTGGTCCTACCGGCGTTCCTACTTCGAGGAGACGTCCGGTATCCGCCGACATCTCAATGACGAACAGGTTTATCTGCATCGAGATTCCCTGGTGCTTCGCTCGTCATTGGTCCCTGGTCCTACCGGCGTTCCTACTTCGAGGAGACGTCCGGTATCCGCCGACATCTCAATGACGAACAGGTTTATCTGCATCGAGATTCCCTGGTGCTTCGTTCGCCCTCGGTCCCTGGTCCCACCGGCGTCCCTACTTCGAGGAGACGTTCGGTGTCCGCCGACATCGCAAGGATGAACAGGTTTATCTACATCGAGATTCCCTGGTGCTTCGCTCGTCATTGGTCCCTGGTCCTACCGGCGTTCCTACTTCGAGGAGACGTCCGGTATCCGCCGACATCTCAATGACGAACAGGTTTATCTGCATCGAGATTCCCTGGTGCTTCGTTCGTCCTCGGTCCCTGGTCCCACCGGCGTCCCTACTTCGAGGAGACGTTCGGTGTCCGCCGACATCGCAAGGATGAACAGGTTTATCTACATCGAGATTCCCTGGTGCTTCGCTCGTCATTGGTCCCTGGTCCTACCGGCGTTCCTACTTCGAGGAGACGTCCGGTATCCGCCGACATCTCAATGACGAACAGGTTTATCTGCATCGAGATTCCCTGGTGCTTCGTTCGTCCTCGGTCCCTGGTCCCACCGATCTTCCTACATCGAAGAAGACATTCGGTATCCAAGAAACTCGCAGGGATCACGGGATGTCACACATAATGGTGGTGGCATGGCGAACAAATATAATGGTGTCGGCAATGAGCGGCCGATCTGAGAAAATCAAGCAATGGCCCTCGTCCGCGAGGGCGGGGACGAGGCCGGTCTTCAAATATGATAATCACACCGGGCCGAGAGGCCGGTTGTGATATAATGATGTCGGCAACGGGAGACCGATCTGAAATCAAGCAACGGTCCTCATCCGCGCATCGCGGGGACGAGGCCGGTCTTCAAATAAGATAATCACGTCGTGCCGAGCGGCCGGTCGTGATATAATGATGTCGGCAATGATAGGCCGACCTGAAATCCGAGCAACGGTCCTCATCCGCGCAGTGCGGGGACAAGGCCGGTCTTTAAAAGATAAACACGCCGTGCCGAGAGGCCGGTCGTGCTATAATGATGTCGGCAATGAGAAGCCGATCAAATGTACCCGTGCAACGGCTCTCATCCGCGCAGCGCGGGGATGATACCGGTCTTCAGGTGATAAACACGCCGTACCGTGGGGTCGGTCGTGATGTAAGGATGGTCCCACGACCCTCGGCCGTAGTGGTCTCCTCTAGGCCACCAGCTCCTGGGGTGGAGATG